TGTAGTCCCGAATCCGTAAAATGACATTAGTGGCCTCTGAGACAAAACCTGAGAGAACATTATCTGGAGAGGTTGCAAACACCTAAAATAAAGACATTTTACTTTGCTGTATATCCTCAATTCCTGTAAAAACAATTTCCACAGTACAATCGTGTGCAAAATTGAGGCAAGCAGATTATTGCCCCCTTCGCTCCTGTAACAAGTGGTTCTTGCACCCCCCCCCCCCCCTGTGCAATGTTGTAAAAACGATTTTGAGGCAAGGGGTTATCTAACAATATGTTTCAACATTGTTAATGGGGGAAGGGGGACCTTACACGTGACAAAGATCACCAAAATGTGAAGAGTTGATTATTTTTGCATGTGATTGTAGGTCCGAGACAATTGAAAGATATATCATTCGTGAATTTACACTGTACTATCAGGGGGACACAACACGCAATTTTTCTAAGGCGTTCAAAGGTCGCATTTTGCATGTATCAAATACAATTCGCATTAGATTCGCGCGTGAAAATTTGCATGTATTGAATTCAAATTCGGCTTGGGCGTTTCCTGAAATGATATAGAAATGTCGTTTAAAAGAATATTAAAGTTAAAATAGGCAGAATTAAAGAATTTACTAAGAATATACCGATGATCGTCAAAGAACATACATACATACATCAAATGATCAATACACGCATTGCCATTGTATACAATCATACATAATTTATTGGCATGCTGTAAACTGGATTTGTAAAAGGCGGAGTCAAAATTTATAAAACAACTAATGTTCAGGGGAGCTCGAGTCTAGGTTTCGTCGTGTTGAAAATGTGTATATACAGGTCGCGTTTGGGCCTTCCTTGACCCAGTGATGCATTGTGCACTTGTAATCGTGATTTTGCAGTATGACCACTGCGAAGAGTGGCGAAATGTAATTATCAATATTATAAATGCATATGGTCCGACAATACAATGCGCACGATGCAAACTATATATGTACGGAAAACATTAGCGACCTTAAGCATGTAGGACGGGAACGGGCGGAGACAAACTCGTTGAACCAACTGATTGCAGAAGAAAATTAACCTGCCGTCTATTATCCATCGTATAAAAATCATACAGTTTAATTAAAGATCAAGATGAACACTGGGTTTATGATTGAGAAAGGGGTTTGCATTAAAATGGAATGAGTTCATCCCGGATTGAAAGTCAATCCGGATTCATGCGTGTAAACAGCACCTAATATTTGAATGCGTATATTAATATTAAACTATTATGCTAAAAATTAAAACAACGGATAATTCAATGGACCTATTCCCCAATGAACCAAATTTTGATCTAGACAAGTCTAGATAAACATTTCACAACAGCTTGAAAGAGCATCACAAAATTAGTAATATTCCGACGTTTCGTTGGGAAATGTTGTAAAATGCGGAAAATATAGCCTTGTGAAGTTTGCCGTTTTTCAGTCATTTTGTATTACGCACGGGAAATTGATACCGCTTTCTGAAAAAGGTACTTCAATGGAGGAAGGGGGGCTATATTATCCGTATTTTACAACATTTCGCAACGAAAGTTCGGAATATTACTAAATTTGTGATGCTCTTTCAAGCCGTGATAAAATTTTTGTCTGGACTTATCTAGATCAAAATTTTGTTCATTAAGCCAGTTTTCCACTTGCGAATTTTTTCGCGCGAAGGGAATTTTTCTTTTGTCTTTATCCAATTAGTTCCACATGGTTTCAGTTGAAAGACCAAAGACAAAGGAAAAATTAGCTTCGCGCGAAAAAATTCGCAAGTGGAAAACCGGCATTAGAGGGTTAGGGAATAGGTTAGGAAATAGGTTAGGGAATAGGAATAGGGAACATTCCAATTTTGTGTTAACAAAAGCGTGCGCAACGAATAAATTTCACTCACTTAGCGAATAAATTTTTACATTGTCATTGGCGTGTTAATTAAATTAAACCACCTTGCAATTCCATTCACAAATGTTAATAATCATATAAATACTTTTCCTAGCTGAAATGTTGGTTTTCTATGCTTAGCATGTGAGGTTTTCAAAACATTGTTTTAATAGTGCATTTAGTTATAACTAGTTTTTTACAAAATGTGTTCTCAGAATGCTGCAAATGTCATTTCCGGGATCAAAATTTTAAAATTTTTCCGTGCCTTCGGTACAAGCACCCCCCCCCCCCAAACATTTCATAAAGTGTCCGCCACTGTGCCCAATCAAATATCGGCAGCTATAAATCCTTCTTTTGTTTCGGCACAAGTTTTGGGAGCTCAAAGCTGCGATCCAATCCATTCTGTAATAACGTTCACAATCCCGCAAGACTATAAAAAATATATTCCCTACATGGCTACATGCACATGCCAAAATATGTAGTATCATTTTGTCGAAAGGTTTCAGCATTCAGGTGTCAACTCACCTCAAAAGAAGCATGTGCTGGCATAACCATAGCGACGGGCTGCAATGTTGAAATGCGGACCGGACACTTCCAATAAATATAAGTGTTCTGTTACGATAACATATAAAGCTGCGCGTTGTCCCGTTTAACCGAGCTGGTCCGCGTTTTACAAGTCCAATCCAGCCCGCGTTTTACAAGATGCCTTCATCGCTGTGATGAATATATTGCAAACAACTGCAAAAGTACCTTATGCTTAGTTTACTCCGAAATTTAAGACTGTCGTAGAAATATTTTAAACCTATAAATTTGTAGGAAAAATAGAAATATCCAAAGATTTATCTTTTTCAATAACATTACATTAAGTCTTCGAAGCCACACCCAACCGAATTAAATTCGACACATGCAAAATACGATGTCTGAAACCTCGTCGCACCTTGCTCGCATTATGCGATCGCACTGGTTCTCGTAGACATGGTGTTATAAATTTTCTAGTCACAATAATTTACAAAAGTTATTGGGACACTTGCGGTTTCAGATCATCAGTGGATATATGCAAATTATTGCAAACATTTATAGCTTCCTCCCCCTCCCCCTCAACATCCAATGTTGTTTACCCGTTCACACACCAAACTAAAATGCTAATCGTTGTGCGGTCCTAATATGAACATTGATTTCACTATTGAAAAGGTGTGCGAGGTTTTCTCAGATAGTGAAATAAAGATTGAAGGCATCGACAACGAAGAGTTAGATTGTACGCAATTCTTGCAAAGGAAACGGAAGAAATAGGTAAGCGAGGGATAGGGGATATATATGAGCCCCACAAGGAGATAAAACAGAGGGAAACCACCAACAATCACAGCGAGTGGCACCGAAGAGGTTAAGGAGAAACGCTTCAAACCATGTAGACCGGATCAGTCTACAAAGAGAGTTGTTGTAATGCTAACGGACGCCATACTTGTACTAGAGCTGATTATGAAGAATCATGTTTACATGTTTAGCTACGAGATAAGATAAGATAAGATGATGTTTAATAGCACAATTTCGCACATAAAGTGAAGTACAAAGTGCTTACATTAAAATACTATAATAATATAAGATTATTTACAATGGTTGTTAGGACAAAGTTAATTAAAATCAAGTCTCACCAGTCACTGTTTACTATTAGCAATATTAATTGTATTCGGGAAAAAGCTATTTTTAAACCGATCAGTTCGACATTTATAAGTTGATAAATTATTCAATGATCTAATAAAATAATTATGCTCGTTCGATCTAGTCTGGGTCACGTGTTGTGTAAGCGGACCACCTCTGGTTATCTTCGTGAGTGTCTTCAAACATAGATCTTCACGTCTAGTCTCCAATTTGGTGATACCAGCCTTCACGTCTAGTCTCCAATTTGGTGATATCAGGGTATACAATACGCAAGGCTCGCTTTTGGATTTTTTCAAGTTTGTCAGATAAATAGCATGAGATAGAGTTGTGCCAAACTTCACAAGAGTATTCAAGGATTGAGCGTATTAACGCAATATACACAGTGAGAAGGTCTGCAGGAGGAAGCAACACCCGGAGGATATGCAATCGTTTGGATGCCTTCGAGACTATTTCATGGATATGTTCATCCCATTTCAGGTTGTTTTGGATCGTAAGTCCCAGTACTTTATGTGAACGCACTGTCTCAATTGGGTGTCCATCGATTAATAGAGGCATTAATTGGGGGGTTTCTGCAAGGAAACTAACACGAAACTCTTTGCATTTTTTGATATTAAGGTTCATCCAATTATCGGAAGCCCACAACTGAACTGAATTAAGGGTTGATTGAGTGATAGAGGTGTAATTTCTGCTAAGACTCTCAGAGGTTGAAACGTCGTCTACGTATTTCCACATTCTAGTGTCGGGAGAAGTGATTCGCAGGTTATTGACCATTACTAGGAACAAGATTGGACCTAGTTTTGTACCCTGAGGAACACCGGCATTCATTGGAAGCCAGTCAGAGGTTGCTCCGTCAAATTTAACACGCTGCCTTCGATTTGAGAGGAAGTTGATGATCCAAGGGATTAATGAGCGTCTAGCACCCAAATTTATCAGTTTCTCAATTAATAGATTATAACCTATGCGGTCGAAGGCCGTGGAGAAGTCTAGGAAACAAATACGCAGATGATTACCGAGTCCGTCAAGGTGGGAAAGCCAAGTATGTAACATATCCAGAAGGCAAAAAGGCAGGCAACCAAATTGGCTGAGGTCGATATTTTTCTTTTACATCCTCAATCAGCCAAGATACTACGAAATCCTCTAAAACTTTAGACAAGCACGATGTTAGTGATATAGGCCTAGTGTCGGCTTCAGCAATCGGTTTACATGTTTAAGGGATTGGGACTATGTTCGATTCCTTCCAACTACTCGGCACAACTCCTGAAGCAAGGGATGTATTAAAAATAATGGTGATCGGCTCAGCTAGCACGTGAGCATACTCCTTTAAAATTCGAGGTGAAATATTGTCAGGTCCGGGGGCTTTGAAAGAATGGACAGTTTGGAGTTTCTTACAGACTTGGTAACATTCAACTGCAGGTACGCTTTCATTTGATGGTAAAAACGGTGGTAATAATCTCATGATCTCATGATCGAACTGTATCCTGCGAACTGCTCGAAATTCCCATTAAGTCTCTTCTATAGACCACCAAATTCTGAAGAAGATATACTAATCGAGTTGAGAGACTCTCTTGATCGTTTAGATGAACCATGTCAACTTGTTCTGGTCGGTGATTTTAACCTACCCAATATTGACTGGTCATTGCACTTTCCTTCTCCCACATCTAAAGGCAGTTTCAAGGAGGAACTTTTTTGCGAGATTATTACAGATCAATTCCTCTACCAAAAAGCTGTCGGTCCGACACACCTGCATGGTAATAAATTGGACTGTGTATTCTCGAATTCTCCGAAGCTCATCACGAACGTGAACTGCACAAATCCAACTGATCTATTTCCAACTGATCATTACCTTATCGAGTTCGATATCAAAGTTTGTTTTCAAAAAGCAAAATCGATAAGACGAACAGTGTATGA